GCACTATACCCGTCGCCGTCAATCTCAGCACTACCATCCCCAGCACCACCACACTAGGCATGACACACCACTCTCGAAAATATGACACGTGTTTCGCCTCTATACGAGGCATCCTCATAATCCTCATTATAATCCCAATAAATCACATTTTGCCAAACATCTCTTAGACGCTGGACACAGCCTAGCCAATGACCACTCCTTTAAAGTCTTGTAATAAAGGGCGACGGGTATAGTGCGCGATTGAGAAAGGGTGGGAGGTCCCCTTAAATCTGGGCAGGACACAATTTTCTTTCTTTCTTTACGCGGAATTAAGCAAATTAGCTACCCCATCACATGACTCTCGTGTGATAACAGCAGCATTTCAGCGAGGTTGGAAAATATTGCTCCGGTAGCGGCACTAGGTGGAAGTCAAGTGGCTGTCCACTACGAGGAGCGCATTTTAGATGTCGTTCGCCGGTATCCGAACCTAGGTACACGAAGTATTGCTAAATTGTTAACACTTCGGGATGGAACAAGTGTGTCATACTTTGTAGTTCACAAAGTGTTAAAGCGTAACCGAATGCGCCCATATAAAGTGCAAGTTTTAGTTCCCAGCGATCACGTACCGCTGACGAGTTTTCTGCCATTGGTTATTAGACCAGCAACAACGTGTGCCTGGTTCGATTGAGCACGTTGTCTGGACAGACGAGTCGACATTTACCACAAACGGCCTGTGGAACCGAATAAATACACACGTGTATTCAGAGGTTAACCCGCACGCTGTTCGACAAACTGGGCACCAAACGCGATGGTCGGTTAACGTATGGGCAGATTTATTTAAAGATCGCTTACTGCGACCAGTGTTTCTGCCACAGCGACTTAACGGACAGCGATACCTAAAATTTATAAATGAACAGTTCGTTGACATTTTAGACGACCTATCGTTGGCTGAATATCGCCGCACATGGTTCCAGCGTGATGGTGCACCTCCACATGTCGTGAGGTTCGTCCGTAAGCGCCTCACCGAATTATTTGATGATCGCTGGATTGGCAGACTAGGACCACACGCTTGGCCACCTCGCTCACCAGATCTGACCCTGTTAGACTTCTTTCTGTGGGGGTATGTGAAAGTTTTAATCGTTTAATCGTGCGTGTGATAGTGCTGACGAAATGCGCCAAAGGATCGTGGATGTTTTCGACAAACTACGTACGAACTGTGTCGAAGACCACACGATGATGCCTCACCTGCGTGAGGAGACGCAACAACGAGCCCAAATCTATCTCGAAATGAACGGAGCACAATTTGAGCCGCATCTCATAAGACCACGGAGGATTTAGAGCGGCAAGCCGTTTCATAACTAATTTTTTTTAAATAACTACTGAATAGGTACATAACTGAATACATCAGAATAATAAACATACCTACAATATGGATAAAAAAGCATGACTCTAACCTTGTTAACATTTCATTTAAGTAATTTTTTCATTAGCGGGGAATCCCACCAGTTATTTGGTTTATTTAACCTGTGAATTCGAATTAAAGTGGCTAGGTGGAGACAAGCACAGTGGCAAAATAGTAGGTTGTCTTTTGACCGCCAGACCTAATATCAACATTCTTTCCCCGGACGCCACGCGCATTTTTTCCCCTAAAATTATTATTCGTTTCGGTAGGGATGTGCCACTCTATGCAAAACTTTTACGATAAAACTTTTAAACTTAAGTTTGCCAATATTACGAAGAAGTACAGAAAAGAAACGGTACGACTTTCCATTGACGTCAGTGGAGTTTGGTGTTGATACGTATTTTTACAGAAAGATTACACTATTATAAGCACACACACAGTCTCAATATACGGAAACGCGTAATTTTTGAGAAAAGAATAATTGAAAATCAATTATTCTTGCAATGTTTGTCTAATCTGCTAATAAACTGGCGCCATTTTGTAATGTCATTGTCGACGTCAATAGGGATGTCGATTCTTTCCGAAAAAGATCGATTTTTTAAATAGATTCGAATTGTAAGCTGATGTATCGATTCCCAAAAAATCGATTTCTAAAATATCGATATTTTTTTCATGTTTGCATTTATAATGTAAATATAAATCCATTTTATGAGAAAAAAATCCCCTTCATCATAAAAAAATAAGGGGACTGATTCATAAGGATTTCTGTATCTATTTTGAGACTGCTACGTCTCCGGCGCTGCGGGAAGACCAACCTCTACGCCTTAGCGTAACAAATCGCAGGTATCGGACGAGTCGGAGCGGCTGAGGCTGGTCGCCGAAGGCGACCAACAAGCCGAAGCTGCGGAGGCGAGGCAGCAGGCGGAGGCTGCTCCCCCTACGCGCCTCCGGCTCTATAAAACCACTCTAGGGGTAGGACAGACTCGTACCAGGTGGAGTCGGGGTCAATCAATTCGGTTCTTTGACATAAGTTGAACCTAACCTATTTTATTTGTTATCTGCCCTAATAGGTACTGTTAAATAAAACAAATTTCAATAAGAGATCATTTATCATGGTATCTTTCTTTTTTTCATAAAATGGGTTTATATTTACATTATAAATAGAAACATTAAAAAAATATAGATATTTTAGAAATCGATTTTTTGTGAACCGATACATCAGCTTACGATTTGAATCAATTTAAAAATCGACCTTTTTCGGAAAGAATCGACATCCCTATTGACGTCGACAATGACATTATAAAATAGCGCCAGTTTATTAGCAGATTAGACATAAACATTGCAAGAATAATTGATTTTCAATTATTCTTTTCTCAAAAATTACGCGTTTCCGTATATTGAGACTTTGTGTGTGTGCTTATAATAGTGTAATCTTTCTATAAAAATACGTATCAACACCAAACTCCACTGACGTCAATGGAAAGCTAAGCCAAAGAAACTGATCAAAATAAGCAATAATACATTAATGGGAATTTTATTTCACCTATCAATAAAGATTTAACAACAAAATGTTTTTAGGATGTAAGATCGGGATCAAGAATTTCAGCGCAACTAGTGGACGCCTTAAAGCGCCAATGCCGACCTCAATGTGTATTTTAGCAGATATTTGCTATATTTACTTTATGCTACATTTAGTGATGTAAGTGACTTTATCGATGTAATAATATACTTTATACATGTTACCACATTAGCAAATCTGATAGTTATTAAGAAGATATTAATTATTAATATTATGTAATAAGTAAATCAGAATGCAAATATTGGTTAATCATATTTTTATTCGTATACAAAAACAGTAAAGTTTGTTCACATATTCAGATATTTTTTTTCATGGTAGGTACGAAAACATGTTATATAAAGAGGCACTTTACAAATTTCACACCAAATTCGTGTTTCCCACCTTTTACGGTATAGATGACTACTCACTGCATTGTAATTTTCTGGTATTTTGTATAAAGGCTGGCATGTGCCGAGCAGCGTTTCCGATTAATCGCATAGGTTGGTCTTTAGCTCGCACGGTAACTGGAAGAATCCTATCCGCGCTGTACTTTATGACAATCTGTGTAATAACCGCTAGTTAGAATTTTGCAAAACGTAATGTATCGTTTTCTCGTAGTACTTTGCAATAATAGCAGGAATTCAGTAAATGCATGTCAACTATGTGGAAAAAAAGTTTTTTGTACCACTTTGTTACTTTTCTTATGCTGTGTAGAGAGCTAAGAATCATATCATTTATATCTACTATACCCATGTTTTATTGTAATCAAGGACATATTCGGGTTTCATAACCGGTAAACCGGTAGATCGATCCATTTTTTCACTTGGTCCCATTTCATCTTCATGAATGGTACTAAGTCTTTTTTATCATGTCATTTTAAAGCCATCATTTTTGAGGTAAATTTCACATCCCTTTCACCTTTTTTATTTTTTTGAATTTCGGCATTTCTTTTAGTCTTTTTTAACAGTTCCACATGCCCACAAGTCATAAGACTTGACAAGTCAAAAAATCAAATAATTTCGGACTACTGTACCAGTTGTCCATGTAAGTAATACGATTAGTGAAATAATATTTTTGCAGAAAGGTAAGAACTACTGACCCACTTATACCAATGTTACTATCACGTATAATTTCTGTTTCAGTACCAGAGTATACAATGAAATCTAATATAATTCTAGTTTTAACGCGAGAGCCAGAGACTTCTCGCATTACATCTCCGGGGTGATAACTTATCTGCATTATGATTGTGTGTCTACAGGCTACAGCATCCACTTACCATCAGGAGGACAATGTGTTCGAGTCTTTTTTTTTTCGAGAATTTTTTTTATTTTTAATTTCTTTTAGACATGCGCGTTTTTTCACAGTGTTTATCTACGAGTACGTGTTCTGCTCTATCAAATTTAGCTTGATAATTTTGACAGCTCACTGTAGGGATGGGGTGGTGTGTAATCATTAATGAATCTATTCGATTATTATTCTCATAGAACTTGCAATCGATAGTTACATGTTTATGCTGTATGGATTTGGAATTTTGAACAATTTATTATCTATTGAATTAATAATAAATTATCAATACGATAATAAAATCCCTCCCACAATAACGATTTCGCCTCGTGCATATTTTTATTCGGTCAGTCATACTATTTAGTTGAATACGTGCGAATCAAATTATTTTTTTTTAGGGCTTAGTTTGAAATAAAACAAGGAATTGTAGTTTAAAGTTATTTATTATTAAAACAATGGTGCACAATCTAAATCAAGTTCATTATTATCACCATCATCATCATCATCTTTACTAGACTCACTACTGGAACTGTACCTTACGTTGATCATTAATTCTTATTCACAAACTCTGTCAAAGGGGATATCTTGCTCCCGGTCTTCTAGTATATTATATTTTTTGCGTTTTCCACATATTTTCTCCAGTCATCCGCAGTAACGTTATCACAGACTTTTTGCAAAAAAGTCAGCATTTTCTTAGCCGTAAATGTTGGAGATGTGTTATGTTTGGCTGCGTGATTTAAAAAAAATAGGTATCTATTTATGTAGTAAACGTAGGTACTAGGTATAATGACAAGAAAACGAACCTTTGAAATAAGCCCAAATCCGTTCGATGGCATTGTAATGGCAATGATATGGTGGCAATCTAAGCACCGTATGACCATGTTGTTCAGTGATTTCATCCAAAATGTAGGTTGACTTTCTGGATTTGTTTTCTTTCACTAATCTGACCAATTCGGGTTTCAACATATTTTTATTGGCTTCAATGCCTTTGCTCTGCAGCCAAGATATAAGCTCCAGTTTTCTGCTGCTGGATGTTGGAGCTTTGTCCTTTTGTAAGGAATGGTACGGCGCATTACCCATAATACTCATATGTGGTTCAAGAAGATTTTCCAGTAATGTTAAAAACCACTCTTTGAACTTTTTGAAATTCATCTCTTCATGACATTCTGTTGTTTTTGTTGATTTGAAAGCCAACAAACAATTGAGTACGAAACCGTTTGCCATCCCAGCGTGTGCTAATCAGGCGTTGTCCACGCTTTCGGTACGTTTCGTATCAGAAATAGGACTTTATCCCAATTTGAAATATGTTTGTTTGGCTTTTCTCAAAAAGTCCACCCATGCCAAGGCAATATCTGTGTGCTCCATTATTATTTTTCTTTTATCACATTTTTTATAAGCAAAGCCAATTTTCTGTCGACTTCCAAAAAGGAGACGGTACTCAATTCGACTGTATGTTTTTTTTTATGTGTGTTACCTCATAACTTTTTACTGGGTTAACCGATTTCGATGATTCTTTTTGTATTTGAAAGCTGATACTTCTCGTGTGGTCCCATATGCCGATATGAATTTGATCAAGGTCAGACCAGTAGTTATTGAGTTATTCTTAATAAATTATATTGAAGTCGGCTGTACAAAATTTTTAATTTTAAATTATGTGTAGTATGGTCTTTAAGGGACACTATTAATTTTCTTAGTGTTGGATATTCAGCACGTCTATAATACGCCTATATCACAGTCTATAAATCCATACAGTCGTCCGACGAAGACGTCTAGACAGGGCAATCGTGCGGGGTATGAGGGGTGAGACGCGGGAAGGACGAGCCCGAGCTTCTTATGCCAATCGTATTAGTAGCTCGGGACACGACTTCCAGGGTTAACGCGCGTTTGCCTTTATGATATTTAAATTTAGTGTTGATACTTATAACTAAAATGGTTCATACGACGTGTGGTGTGAGAGATTGCAAGTCGTAATCTTGCATAAATAAAGATCTGCGATTTCACCAAATCCCGCACACGGAAGAAAGGTACATAAATATTGTTATTAATTTTTATATTATGTATATTTTGTCATGTCATGCCAAATTGCCAACGTAAAAAAAAGGGCGGACGTAAAAAATAGGTACCTACTAGTCGCTGGGCATTACTGTTTCCAAGTTTGATTTTTTTTCTTCATCTAAATCGTGTGGTTGGACAGGCTAAGGTTTAAGACCATACTATAGTGCTTCGTCTTCGGTTTTTTGGAAGTTTTTTTATAAATTATTAAGATTTAGGGGTCAATTTTTAGGTTTGTCGGGATGCTAATTACGAAAATAGCATTTATTTTTAAATCCAAGATGGCGGTTATTTTTAATATATGTATGATATGGATGTCAGTTTCGAGGTTTATTGGGGTGATGATTACGAAAATGGCATTCATTTTTATATCCAAGATGGCGGACTTTTTTTTAGTAATATGATATGGGTATCAATTTCAAGGTTTCTTGGGGTGCTGATTACGAAAATGGTATTCATTTTTAAATTTAAGATGGTGGATATTATTTTTTTAATTTTATGGATGTCAATTTCAAAGTTTCTTGGGGTGTTGATTACGAAAACGGCATCTATTTTCATATCCAAGATGGCGGACATTTTTTTAATAATATGATATGGGTATCAATTTCGAGGTTTCTTGTGGTGCTGATTGTTATGGATGTCAATTTCGAGGTTTCTTGGGGCGCCAACTACGAAAACGGCATTAATTTTCATATCCAATATGGTGGATTTTTTTTAATAATACAATATGGATGTCAAATTTAAGGTTTCTGGGGGTGATAATTATGAAAATCTATTAATAAGTATTGTATTTAAAAATTTCAGATGCAAATTATGGATGGAAGTTATTGGAAGACCTGATTTAGTTGGAAGAACTTCTGAAAGCCTAAAGAATCAATTATAAAATAAACTAATAATTCAATGTCTGTAGTCATTGTAACGTTAATAATAATATGGATTTAATGTTTAGCTAAGAGTATAAGAACGATTTCATGTAGCGAAATTGAGGTATGGCCACATATCGAGAGTAGAGCACTCCCTCACGTTCTGAGGCGTGCAATTAACGTTTTGAGTACTTTCAGGAAAAATTTAAGAACAAATTGTTACTTATTTTTTATATTAGTAATCATACTGTTGCTGACGATGTAGATCTAAAATAAATAATTAAATTAGTAAAAGTTGTTAATTTGTGACAACCCTAACCTCCATACGCTGTCTAGACGTTGTCGGCATTTACCACGAGATCAAAGGCGTCGTCCTACTGTATGTTTATTTTTATTATACTGTGCCTATATATAGTTGCGTATTGTGGCGGCATCAAAATCATCAATCGCAGTGATACTCGAAACTCTCCTTTTCTTATTCGGTGTCGACAATCATTTTTCTGTGTCTTCTTCTATTACTCGAGTTGATTATACGAGATTTTTGTATACCTACTCTAGTCATGAAATTTATTAAATATTAGAATTCATCTGACTTCACTCCGTTCACAACAGCTACCTTAATATCGTGGTTTTTCAGACGCCAGCGCTATTGTAGTAGGTTTTGGAACCTCTATTTTCAATAAATAGTAAGACACTTTTTAACTTTCGCCCCTTATAAGATGGTTCTCCTTGTACTCTACACTCCATATTCTTCACAGAACATTAACGTAAATTTAAATCAGCAAACTTCTCATGGTGAAAACTTAACTCAGCCCAAATACGTAATCTGAAACAGATACAATGCGAGTCAATACAAGAGTCAATGTAATAATCCCTACAAATAACGGTCAATAAATTAGACTTAAAATAATATTGTCATAAGTTTTTCTTTTCCTATTATAGGAAACCTGCAGAAAGTGATCAGACGATTTTGTGCTTTTTATTTGCACAACACAACTTACTTTCGATGATGATCACACATCGTGCATAAAATTTTGAAATAATGAATTAATTTATAGTCAATTTCTTATACAGAGTTAACATCTCACAAAAAATCTTTACCGTATATTCACGACGATATTATGACTTATGTAATATTTGATGTATAAATATAAAAGGGATAAAAAAAAGAAAAAGATAAAAATCCATTTGTCATGAATTTCTTATGTATTTATAGAACGAGTAGAAAAACCTTTCCTTGTCTTATGTGCTGATTGAAACTGCATTTATTCGGAAGAATATTAAGTAAAAAAAAAAATAGAACCATACTCCTTCAAGCGTCGGCTTATCCATTTGGCGATCTACTTGTCATAGTATTAAACCCCGCCAGGGTATAGTAATATTTTGAAGATATACGGATTTTAAAGGTTTTTTAATAACCACCCAGAATTTCTTATTAAATTCTAAATAAAAATAAAACCTTTTTTGTATGCTTTTTTTAAAAGTTTATTTGTTTTCTTGAAGCTTCAACCAAGCGAGTACAATCATAAAATGTCACGTACTTTAAAAAATTTCAAGACGAGACATAAAAATATTTTTAAAAATATGCCCATTTAATCAGCTATCCAAAAAGGTAATAATGTCCCAGTGAAATTAATGAATAATAATAATAAAATGGTCTTTTACTTAACGCAGGTAACGAGAACGGCAACGAATGACTGCTCTTAGGAACGAACTTGCACACTTTTAGTAACTTGGCGTCTGATTGGTTGTTGACAATTATTCAGAAAGCAGACGGCCATTTTAAATTGAGTCGTAGCGACGCTCGTTAGTTTCTACTACTGCGCAAGCACGTGTTTTTAAAGTTCCTTCTGATAGACTCTCATCGCGTTAATTCATTTGTTATTGTTTTTAGTCGTTATCGTTATTGTTATTATTGCTACCGTTATCTTTTACTGACTATTCATTGTTACTGTTTTTGTGCGTTGAAGTTAAAATGTCGTCACAATGTAATAAAGAATATGCCGACATCATGTACTGATATGATTTTGCTGACGGTAACGTTGCTGGGGTTCGTAGAGGATATGAACATCGCTTTCGTGACCACCGTCACTGAATTAATGTGTCATTAAGTGATATTACTGATTTACTGATAAATTTTCGTATGGTTGCGTTGATTTATTTCCGCCCTATCTTTGCATTTTTTTGCATTCACTTGTATCAACCGATTGTTTTTTTTACTGTAGTGACGGTTCAACATCTACTATTGAAGGGAAAAATATTTAAAAAATAACTGTTGCGTCTGTTGGTGAGACAGGACTTACTCCAGTAACATCAGTCTCAGATCAAGGGGCTACATTCAGATCTGCTCTTAAACTACTGCAAGAGGAAATTAAAACTACTACTTCAAATAATAGAAAATAAAAACCCAGGTACAATTAATCAAAACTTTACCGCCATGTTTACTTTTAATAGAATTGCCTTGTTATTTACATGATTTATATTTCTATATAACTTGATACATATAAGTAAGTTTCAACATTGTTTCATTTGTATTTACCTCATTTTATTTTCAATATAATACAATTAATTTTGCAAGTGGCTATCATTTGGGACGTCCTTTGCCTGGTATAGCTGCTTCAAATTAATAAAAAATGTCATATATCATTTTGCTACAACCAATCAGGATGCAGAAGCTAAGTCGAGTAAGTTTACTTCGTGAGATGTCCGTTTGATTCGGGCAGAATCCATTGACTTAGAAGTATATGGACTGGGCATACCAAAAGAATTAGCGTGACTACCTAAACAAATCTGGCGCATAAAATGGCCGCCTTTTATAAGGTTTTTTTAGGGGATTTTTTTGTATTAGGTACACAGTCAAACAAGGAGTTAAGTATGCAGGCAGCTAACTTGCAACTTGTTTTAAACAATGTTCTGAGTATGCTAAGTGCTTACTCAAGTTTTGAAGTTATACTTCTTTTGGCGCGTTTAAGAAAAATGATGAGAGCGAATTTTTTACAACTTCATTTGGTAATTGTCTTTTAATTGTTAAGTTTTCTGAGAACTGATAACTATATTCGAGGTAGTTATTCAAATATATATGAATGTATAAAACGTGTTTTATTTTAGTTATTTTTGTTTTGTTACGCTAAAGAAGTATAACTTCTTACGTGCGTACATAAGTACACACAAACGTTTTGTTTTATATCAATGTGAACATAGTTAAAAAGTCATAACGCACACAATAAAAATGAATATTGACAGAGTAATGGGAAAATGAATATTTTTGCTTGTATACCAAATACCTTTGTTTACTGTAAAATAATATTGTACAGTAAACAAATGTATGGAGATGGGATGGAGATCCTTGATTCCATATTGTAATCCCATATTATAGTATTTTTAATATAAAATAATAATTAGTTGAGTAAAAATTAAATAAACTGTTTTTAAAATCAATAATTATTTATTATTAATTGATATAATTCGGTTCTGCCGGATATTATATTTAATTTTTTTATTCGGATTTTAAATGAATAATATTATTATTTTTCGCAGGTACATTAATTTTGTTCATTTAAAATTCGAAAATCTGGCATGATCATGAAACGGTGGATCAAATATGATATCCAGGATTTATAAACTATTATTATTATCTTATATTTATTTCTGAACAAAATAAATTTATTAAAATAATTTCTATCGACACCATGGATAAGAATGTACGACACTATTTCACTGGTTTTTTGACAGTTTGACAGCAGATCTACCTCAAAACTTGGCGCTTAACATGGCGGTGCAGTCGCGCAAGGGTGAGCTAATAACGTCACACGAAAGTATTACCAAAATAAGCACTTTACAAACTGTAGATGTCACTCTTTTCTATTACAGCTACTGCTTTGTTAAAAAGAGACAAAACTGTTTTTGAAAAGTGTGTGTCGATATTATAGATATTTGTATAACTATTATTTCTATGGTGGAATATGCCCTCTCCATAGGTATATATCTCTATGGCAGAATCTAAGTTTGTGGGTAGAATCCACTAGTTAGTCTGTGGATATTACTACTCATTAGAAAAGAATCTTAGAACAACCAATACGAACACGGTATTTTAGAGTTTGACATTTGATTACTTTTAATTTTTTAGGCCTAAGGCAAAACTAGGCCATTGATAAAGCCTATTTACATACACCTCACAGATATTCACCATTTAAAACATAATTTTAAAATGTATAAATCTAAATTTATAGTACAAAAATAAAACTACTTTTATTTTATATATTCAAGTTTAGGTACATTTTTTATTTCTGTTGAAAGATTTTATATGCCATATCTTGCATTTGTAGCAATTGGTTATCTAATTTTAATGTAACAACATCCAATCTAGTCGCAGCTCCACCAAACCCTGAGCTCGTTGATGGCGCGGATTCCGAATCTCGCTCAGCTGTCGCCTTTGCTTGCCAATAATTAGAATCAATATCCAGTGAGTAATCTAAGGTTGTCCAGAGAAGCAATCCAATCGGTGTCCAAAAGCGTAGCGAAGCCGACGTAAAATAGCAAGCAATCGGTAGCCAGAGGGGTAGCGAAGTCATCGAAAAACGGGAAGCAGATCATAACGATACGACACATTCACGTAAACTCGGAAGGAACGGAATGAATATATATATGTATATATATATATATATATATATATATATATATATATATATATATGTATATATGTATATATATATATATATATATATATATATATATATATATATATAATACTGACAGACGTATTTCAAATAGCACATCTCAAAAACTTTAATTATTTATATTGCACCCATGTAGTTTAGAGATAAAAAATAGTTAAGAATCGCTCACCTTATAATGTCGATATAATAATTAGAATTGGGTACTTTTGTAATAAAAAAATACTGCACCTTGCTTGAATATAATTGCACCATCGTTAGAAATACATAAAATGCAATGATAAGCACAATGACAAGCAAAAAACCAAATTTGTTAACGGTCGAATGCACCCTTCCTACACTTAACATATTTATTTCCCTTTGGCGGGACGTATGTCAAGATCACAAACTAGTAAGAAGTGCTAGCTCAAGATGCACGTGGTCAAGATGGACCGTGTATAAAGATATATAATTTAAAGATAAGACTTCCGGTGTCATCGGAAGTCGTCCAAGTCTATGGGTGTCATGGATATTTTCTTACCCGGATTTGTCAATTCTGACAGGCATAAGTCTATGACCATACAGCCTACTTGGATGTATATTTTAGTCACTCAATTCTTTACAATATGCTGATGCGTTAAGTTGAGATGTTCTTAGGAAATTTGACGACAGCTTAACCTACTAGACCGTTGATGGCGATAATATCTCAAGGAGCCCAAGTGGATAAAACCGTTAAAATTTATATTACCATCGAAACATTGCAGTAACATCGTTTCTGCTGATCGTTTACATGCACAAACATTTACTACACAAATTCGTACTATTTTTAAATGGCAAAATCAAATTCAAACCATCATAATATGATTAGTAGCTAGGTTTAAATGTCGCTAGAAATCGCTATAAATAAAAAAAAAAACAGCAACTACACAGCTGTCGGCGCATCCTAGAATCCAAATTGAGTGCATTCAATGAAAAACGAATCGTCACCGATCAAATTTTTCCCTCGGCTTAATCTATTAGCCTTGCGTAGAGACGATTAAAAAGGGTATAGAAAGACTGCATAGTAAGACATTGTGAGGCATTCCATATTAGTCTTCAGAAGTTAAAGTGGCTGCACGTGATAATGAACTGTAGTTACCGCTTAGTACCAGGTGGACTAGAAGTTAGCTTGTTACTTCAGTTTTATAAAAAAGGAGACCTAAACTGGCAATGACTCGGGGTTTTACAAGGTTATTTCACCATCTCTTAAGAGGCTTTGGGATTTAAAGTTACATACTATATACGTCCCACTGCTGTACAAGCCTCCTCTCATTTTGAGAGGGTTTTAGGGCAAGGAAATGTGTTGGCGAACTTCACATGTCTTCTAAATATTTTTTTCTTATTTCTCAGACATGCAGGTTTAATCACGATGTTTTCCTCCACCGCCAAGCACGTGGTAAATCAGCACAAATTGCAATTAAAAATTTTATTGGTGCCGGCGGGGATCGAACCCGGGTTGTTCGCGTAGTGTGAAACGTACAGTGAGCGAAAACCATCTGAGCTACCATGGCTCAGATGGTATGGTTAAGAGGCTTTGTGGTTTGGAAACAAAATATTTAGCACTCATGTACTTACTGTGTGCATGCAACTCTTTCTAAGTGAATCATATTCCGGCTAATCTAGGGAGCTTCGCTAGCTAACCACATGTAATGGTCATAGTTAAGGGGTCCTATTAATCATTTAGTTGACCCGCTGAAAAGCTGTACCACCAACTAGTAAAAACTCGAGAAATGACTATACCGTGCCATTTTGCAACCAGGAGAGAGGAAATGATAGCGATCTCTGAGGATTTTCAGCGATCTGTTCTCTCTGAAACTCTCTTCCTGCTGTACCTACCCTTATAAAATTGTTTTATCATCTATTGATTTATATTGCTTCATAAGGACAGGTCAGAAAGCGCATTTTGTTTTATCACCTATTGATTTATATTGCTTCATAAGGACAGGTCAGAAAGCGCATTTCAAATCGGTGAAAAATTGAAGCTGAGATCAAAATATACATGATATCATAGCAGATTCAACGATATTGCTGATTAAAATGTTAAAATGGCTTTTTAACATTGGTGTGATAATGATATTTAGAGGTGTAGGTTGCGCAATGCAATAAAAAAAAATAGACCTTATACTGGTTTTTTAAAAGGGTTAAATAAGAATAAACAAATTAAAAAAAACGAAACGAAGTTTATGTTTCACTATGTTATTATTGTCGCATTGTGTCTGCAAGGCGTCGCCGAACGAGTAACAGAAACAACGATATGACTATTACTAATACATTTTCACAATAGTTATTGGCTATTATAATCAGATCGAAACAAATTATAGCACTAATATTAGCAAATGAATATTACTTATATAGTAAAAAAAATAATAATATCGTTAGGTACCTAATTAATAAATTATCTCAAGTCGTCAAATATTTTTACAAAATTATTATAGCAATTCTGTAGTATTATATTATGAAGAAAAAAAAACTAGAAATGTCATAATTATTACCATATTTTGTTGGTACAATAAAATACCTTACTTAAAAGTAGAAAAACATGCACTACTTTTTCATCTATACTAATTTTAATGATTACAACCAAAAAGTTAAAATTGGAATGTTTCCGTATGTCAATTTATATTTACAAAAATATAAAAATTATAAAAAAGCGTTTAAAAAACTGTAACTTATATGTATATAAACGCTTAAAACTAGACACAAATTGGAACAAATCTTTGGGCTACTGGCGAAAAAATTATTACAAAAACACAGCCATTATTACATAAAGAAACATTTACATTTGTTCGATTTATATTCATTTCTAAACCTATAATTTGTTCAATTTTTACTATTATAATTAAATTATTTAGAATTATAAAGAAATTGCTTGAGATACTTGAAAGGATTACCCACCGAAACTAACTAATATATAATAATTCGTCTTAATTTATACTCATAGTTATAAACAGTGTTGGTGAAATAATAAAATAAAGCCGTCAAAAGAGAAAAGTTTTATACATTTTTTTTTTTAATAAATCCTTGGCGTAGCAAGGACGATAGAATTGGATAACGTAGGGGACGATGGCACTGGGAGGCAAATTTTAGAAAGCGGCATTTTGGGAAAGAAATAATTAGAAAAGTAAGGAATGAATATTGGCGTGAGAATTTCAAAAATAGCTTTTAGTAAGTTTTAGTATTTGATTAAAATGTAATGAACATAGTAGCATTTAAAAGTATAATAAGTACAAGGATACATTAAATTGTTCTATTCATTTTTAAATAATAATATATATGCATAGACACATTTTTCCAATTTTATATTTTAAGATACTTGCGAAAATATGGGGGTGGGGTCGGAGGGCAGCATTTTTGATATGCCACTGAAACTAGTGAATGTCTGAGATTTGACGTAAAATTATTTTTACTTAATAATCAAATTATTGTATTTCTTACAACCAGATTATAATTTTTATAAATATATTTTATACATAATAAAAAAAAGTGTTATGAAGAGTTCAAGTCAATCATATGAGTCTGTGGTTCAACCTATAAACCTTGAGTATACTCAAATGATTGAAATAAGACCTATGTTTTGAGGCTATAAACTATATGAAGCGCACGTTGACAAACAGGCAGACAAATAATTGTTCCATTTGGTTTTACATCACCCAAAACATTTCCATAATTTTCAAAGTTATCAATGAACAAACAAGCCGTTTTAATTCATATTATATGTATAGATCAAATAATAAAAATTATTGTACTCGTACGTTGTACTCATAGAGCAACACGGGCCTCCGGCGGACCAGAGAGGAGTAGCTACAGCATATTTTCTTAATGTTACAGCTATAGAGTCCTAATTCAATACTCTAAAATAAATATCGAATATCGATATATCATGAATAAAAATATCGACGATATATATGGATATTTTTATTAGAAAATATCTATATTTCGATATATCGATATGTTTTACTTGGGTTAGGCTTGGGCCTAGTATGTCTTCTCCCCTCCGATCCGGCGGCGTGGCGCAGCGGCCCGTGTTGCTCTACGGTTGTATCTATAGGTATATATAAATATATAATGTTACAGCTATAGAGTCCTAATGTATTGTCCTTTTGTTATAAGAAGCATAATTCTTAAATTATAAAACACTTATGCTAACCAAACTGAAAATTATGTAAGATTGCATAAAACTAATGTTAAGAATTTTATTGCGTTTCATATTAGTTTTTATTTTCTGATGTTTGCGGCGCTTTACAGCATCCGCGATCACGCCCGCGAAGTCGCCAATAAAAGAGTAAAATTAAAAGCGATAGAATCCATGCAATTAATGTGTAATATTCGCATAAATAAAAGAAATCATTATGCCGTACGATGTTTTCCTTTTATTCGATTTATTATAAGTACTTAAGATAAGAAAGAACAATATGTCTAAATTATTCTGATTTTATATATTTAAATAATTATTGCTCTCGAACAAATCAAAAAGAAATTTTAATTTTGATACTAAACAGCTTAGTTCTTAAACATGTGCATTTCTTTGCATTTTTATGGCGATGCCGTTAAAAACATGGGGCCCACTGGCTAGATCTAAAACGAGACTATATTTTAAAAATAAATTATACAATAATAATTACGAAAAAATGTTGTACAAACTAAGTTCTTAGAAACAAGTCAATAAATACCTATAATAGTTTTTATTCCTTGCCGTAGTAAAATACAGATTTTATTAACAGCACAATAATAATAGCTGCATAAAATATACTTACTTTTTCTTGCTATAAGAGTCTATGGAATGTTCCCTTTTACAATAATATGAGCGATGAAAGTATATATACTCATATTTATTAATCCATGCAGAAAATCTATGAAAAACTTGTAGTCAAGAATTTTCTGATGGTTTGTGATATGATGAGGCGACAATATTTATAAAATTTTATATTTGTAGAAAATTAGATATTTATTTAATATTTTATTGTACAGATTAATTAGAACAAAAAATTTACAATACTAATAGCAGATCTATGTGAGATCTATTGCATGCCTTAAGCGCAAAGCGCGTAATTATGTTCAACTAGCGTCTAAAAATCAAGATTCCAACATTTTATCGCATGAAATTATATCTAACAATCATATTGGACATATAAATGATATAAAAGCACATTGTCAGAAAGATATATGATTGTTGAACTTTTTTTTAAATCGACTAATTTATCAAGCCTACGCCTCTATGCGAGGCGTAAACACGATAACTTTTGAAAATATCAATTGTTTAACTCAATCTATTTTTTAAACCTTTCATCTACCATGCGGGAAGGCATGGAATATGGCAGTTTAATTTTGTTTGTGTAGTTATAATTAATTTATTTTCGGCTGCGAAATAGCGAAATTTTCGGCGTTTTGAGCAGCCTTGTATTAATATATTTTACTAAATACACTTTGCTGTGCCTCACTCCCGGCCACAGAGTACTTTTTACTCCGGGCTCAACCGTCGTCGTGAGTGGTCGTTTGTTTACAGCGATTCGTGCTGAAAATATCGATCACTTCAGAAAAACAAAATATTGCAAAAGCCAAATTTGATACATACTTGACCAAGGTAAGATATTATTATTATTTTTATAATAACAGATTTTTGTTGCAATATTTTATTTAGGTAAAAGTACGCAGGATTTATATATAAAGAAATATACTTACACGTCTTGGACTTTATAGACCTGAAGTTGTACTTCGATATCTGCTACTGGAACTCCTCGACAAGTAGGACCAGGTGTGCCGAGATTGTGCTCGTTATGTTAGTTATGGTGAGACTTTACCCCGACTTGAAGGTGTAGTTCAGTGAATGCTACTGGAACTCCTCGAAGAGTAGTAATAGTAATAGGTGTGCTGAGTTGAGTATATTGACTCGTTTTGTTAGTTATGATGAGACCTTACCTCCAGACTTGATAGAGTGACTTGAAGGTGGACATTGACGACTGCTGCTGGAACTCTCGACGAAGAAAACTAGATGTGCCGAGTTTGGGCTCGTTTTGTTAGTTATGAATAGACCTTACCTCCAGACTTAACGGAATGACTTGAAGATGTACTTCGGTGACTGCTACTGACACTCTTTGACGAATAAAACTACAATTACCATTTATTTTTAATTTTTTCACTATTATATGAGCCGTGCACTATTGGATTTTCCAAACTTTTTTAATTGAAGTTGACATAAAATTATATTAAAGAAGAAGTATAGTAATTAATGAAAATTTGTGTGTATTTAAACTACTTTAAAAAAATTGGTATAATCATTTTTTTATACGTAATTTTTAATACGCTTAAGGCATGAACAATTAGATTTATCAATATTTTTTTAGACTATCGGCAGTTTTTCGTACTTTAAATTTTCGTCAATAAAAATGCGATATTCATTTGTATTCCTTCTAATTTTTCTACTTGTAAAAATGCTAGATATAGTATAAAGGATAATATATTTAAAAGCGCAATCTACATATAAAATTATACTATCACTTTATAACTCCCAATTCTATCAACGTGTTACCAATCTACTAGAAGTGGTCCTTCTTAAATTTGAAATTGCAAGAAGTCCTAGTAGTTTTTGACGATTATAATTTCAAGCTTTTCAAAAGCTTTTGATTTGAATAATGTAAGCATAAAGTTAGAAAAGTAAGGAAAGGTAGAAAAATTAGTAGGTTCACGCGAACATAGAAATACTTAACTAATCAAAATAAATGTAGATAATACATTTCTTACCTATCCTAAATTACAACAATCAACAATCCATTAAATGCGGTTACACTATGCAAATGGTAACATCAGCATCACACAATATACTCGAGGACATTCCTAACATCTAATAAATTATTACGTATATAGCGTGGCTACGTATCTTCATTTTGGATTTTAAAAGTAAAATCCTGATTGATGACCTGCACATTTTGAACATATATGAAGCCTTAATACTATTATAATAAACTAAATTCAAATAGATAAAATCATCTAAGGCTTTTAGCGAATTTACTCGTATTTTTCATGATAAAGAAATATGGCAACCTGTATGACATACACAATATTTTTGTTTTTCCGTTTATTTGTCTTTATATTGACTTAATTTTTATGATTTTCATTGAATACAGTTAAACGAATGATATAATATTGCTAATATAAATTTTAAATACGAATATCATAATTTGGCTTAATGCAACTACATTATTATAATTTTTATTAAATACTGTTTTTTATGATTCAGGAAAACCGGGCCGGATATGTTCGAATCTCCGAAATTGGATTGTTTCACTGCAACAAGTATTAATGTGTTTAATATATACTTAAATAATATTACAAAATGATATTCCAGCTTTATACAATAATACATAGAGGCAAATGCTTTTTTTTTAAATATTCTTGCAAGCCTACTTTTTAATTATTTTTCTGTTTAAGTATAACGGTAGAAAACAATATATGTATTGTTTTCTACCAACTTCAAAAAGGGTGAGGTACTCAATTCGACTCTATGTTTATTTTATGTGTGTTACCTCATAACTTTTTTCTGGGTGAGCCGATTTTGATGAATCTTTTTTTTATTTGAAAGCTGGTGCTTCTCATGTGGTCCCATATGAATTTGATCAAGGGCTGACCAATAGTTTATGAGTTATTCTTAATAATTTAAATTCAAGTCGGTTGTACAAATTTTTTTATTTTAAATTATTGTTTAAAAGAATTACTTCCACACTAGGAAAATATCCCTTAGCATTAATGCGTTTCTTCAGATTCGGAACAATTAACAGTGGGCGATTAAATTGTTATTTTGGGGCGGGACTCGAACCCGAGTCCAATAGTGCCTCAGTTACAACGCTTGCTCGCTTAACAACGGACGCCATTAAAGTAAAGTTTTTTAAGCTAAATAATAATGTAATATCATGATTTTTAGAATATTAAGATTTTTTAACATATTGTGGTTAAAATTATGACTCACCTTCACTTTAGGTCGTACCGATAACGTCAGTTTTTGTATTAACCGAGTGGTCCCGTCTGTGGAAGAAATTGCAATATTATTATTAAATTATGTTTATTTTTAATTTGTAGCAGAGGAACACTATTTAATTTAATTAAAATAATTGCCTTATTTAGTTTTCAAAAATATATTGATTTTTTTTGGATAGGTAACGTTTATTACAATCGCATCTAATGCAATTATAATCTGTGATTGTAATTTTTTTTTTATTTTGAAAGGTAACATAATTAACAAATATATTATTATTTCTGTGGTGGTGGTTTTTTTTTATAGAATAAGGGTGACAAAAAGACAAGCATACAGTCCACCTGATGGTAAGTGGTTGCTGTGGCCCATAAACATCTACATTTATCTTCGTTTACGAATTAAAATGCAGATGCGTTGTCAGCCGTGAGGACTAAGATAGAATGCCTCTTTTCCAGTAAAAAGGGTCTCCGGTTCTCTACACTCACCATACGAAACACAGCAGCGTTAAACTGCTATTTTATGCTGGTATTCTGTGAGAGCGTGGTCCTTCCCCGGTCGAGCCGACCCATTCGTGCTACAACTATACTACTAATATAGCTGCAGCAGGGCTCTACAACGTTTAGAATAAATTTATAATTTAGAATAAATATGTTGGTATTACATATATTGTAGTTACTTAAACCGAGGAAGGATAAGGACCGCATCGAATACCAGCGTGAAAAGTAGCACGCTAGTATTCTGTAGGTGTAGATGTGTGTAGGTGTGGAGGTGTGGTGGTACGTAGGTGTGGAGGTTTGTTGATGTGCAGCTGCGTTTTGTATGTTGAGTGTAGAAAGTCAGAGACCCTTTTCACTGGTAATGAAGCATGCTGTCTTAGTCCTAAGGTGACAACGCATCCACATTTTGATACTTAATCGAGGATAAATGTAGATAGATATTTATGAGCGGACTGTTTTTTTTTTATAGGATAGGGTGACAAACGAGCACACAGTCCACCTGATGGTAAGTGGTTGCTGCGGCCCATAGACATCTACATCTATCCTCTATTACAAATCAAAATGTAGATTCGTTGTCACCCGTGAGGACCAAGATGGAATGCCTCATTTCCAGTAAATAAGGGCCTCCGGCCACCTGCACTCGTCAAGCGAAACGCAGAGGTAAACCTCTACTTCACGCTGGTTTTCTGTGGGTCGTGGTAGCACCCCGGTTCGAGCCGGCCCATCCGTGCGACAGCAAAAGCTGCCGTGTCGCTCTACTTATCTTCACGCATAATCCCTGACGGGGTAGCCAGAGAGAACAGATCGCCAAGTGTCACGATCCTTACATACCTCTTTCACTTCTTTCAGATTCATTATCTTCTTCATACATGCACGTCTAGGTATCCGAGTACTCATGACCCTACTTCGAAAGTTAGTCTCGGTCTACCTCGACACCTTGTAATATTAACTTTCGCGCTATATATTTTCTTCACCATTCGGTCTTCACTCATTCGCTCAACGTGCCCAAACCATCGAAGCACGGCCTTATCAATTTTTGTGATAAGGTCATCTTTCAAACCTGCCATATTGCGAATCTCTTCGTTTCGCTTTCGGTCGGCCATGGTAACGCCGCACATTTTACGAAGAGATCGCATCTCCACTGCATTCAACTTGCTTTTATGCTTCTTCTGGCATACCCAGGTTTCGCTGCCATATAACAACACTGCGTTATGTATTGCAAGGCGTGCACTCTTCGCTACGCCTTGCCTTTTGACTAACGCAGTCAGGGCACCATTGACTTTGTTCCCGGCAGCGACACGCCTGTCCACATCTAAATCACATCTTCCATCCCGGCTAAAAGCACTCCCCAAGTATACAAAATCATTTACCTGTTCTAGACATTCCTGATTTACCCATATTTCACACTTCGTTCTCTCTTCGTCCGTTTCAAATACCAGAACCTTAGTTTTATTAGCATATTGGCTCTACCACTGTTAAACTGTGTGTTCGCTATTATCCTTCTTTTATTAAGAGATGTTTAAAATATAAATGGAAGGTGTAATGCGAGGTGGGGTGGAGGTGTGTAGGTGTTGGAGTATGGAGGTGAGAAGGTGTGGAGATGTGGAGGGCTGGAGGTATGTAGGTGTGGAGGTGTGTAGGTATATAGGTGTCAAGATGTGTATGGAGATGTTAGGGTATGGAGGACGGAGGTGAGAAGGTGTGGAGGTGTGGAGGTAGTGGGTGTTGGGGTGTGGAGGTATGGAGGTATGGATTTGTGGAGTGTGGAGGTGTGGTGGTATGGTGGTGTGGGGGTGTGTAGATGTCGAGAGTGGAGGTGGAGGTATGGAGATAAAAAGGTGTGGAGGTGTGCCAATGTGGAGGTGTGAAAGTGTGGAGGTGTGTATGTAAGAAGATGTGGAGGTATGGAGATGTGTAAGTATGTAGGTGTGGAGGTGTATAGATGTGTGAGTGTGTAGATGTGGAGGTGTGGAGGTATGTAGATGTGTAAGTGTAGAGGTGTTGGGGTGTGGAGGTATGGAGGTGAGAAGATGTGGAGGTGTGGAGGTGTGTAGGTGAGTAGATGTGAAAGGGTTGTGTGGAGGTATGTAGGTGTGGAGGTATTTAGGTGTGGAGTTGTGTAGGTGTGTAGGTGTGGAGGTGTGTTTTTGATAAAGTGTTGAGATGTTGAAGCGTTGAGGTGTTGAGAAGTACAAGTGTCTTGGTGTGGAAGTGTGGAGGTGTGAAGTGTAGAGATGTGGTGGTGTGGTAAAGTGGTGGTGTGGTGTGGTGACGTACCTGTGATGTTGGCGAGGCCGCGCAGGCGAGTGTGTGGCTCCAGCAGCAGCAGGTACACGGGCACGGCCGTGAGGATCATGAGGCAGCCCACGCCCGTCTCCGCGGGCGACGCCACCGCCGGCACCGCCACCACAAGCACCGTGCACACTATGTACACCGCTGCAACCCGCCAGGGGAATACCCCAATATGTAATGGCACTACCACATGTCGTCCCGTGTGGGTCGTAAGACGTAACAGATAACAGCAGTGTTTTTATCATAAGACCTTCAAATTATGAAAATATAATTACGGTTGCTAACCTGCCTACCAAGCGTGGCAATTATGATAAAATATCAGAAGAAAGGGAAGAGAAGAAGCGGAAACGGGTCATATATATAGGAAATGACCCGGTTATCAGAATTATAAATTCGACCAATGTTATTATTGTTACAAGCTTGGGGTTCGAGACAATTAAAACCTGCCTATTGAATTACCAAAATTGACACTTTAATTAGTGTTCTAATTACAATTTAAAACCAGACTAATAATAAAACACAATTGTACTACTGATCACTTTAGTTCGCAGTTATTTCGCTTCGAAGTATTCGCTTGTATCGCCGATTCAATACTGACTCAGTCGTGGTCTATACTGGCCTTATATAGGGTCTCAGATAGTTTCCATAACCTCCTACTGTAGAAACATCTAGAATGTTCGAGTACATATCGGTCCCCAAATTTCTAGAAGAATCTCGACTCTCCTAGTTCTGCTACTCAATACTAGAGGGCGCTAGTGGTAACTAGTGTTGCCATGTACAAGACAATGACAGTGGCAATGATAGTGAACATTATAATGATATTTATAAGCAAAGTATTTTCTTTCACATGAACCAATACATAAAATATTTAAGAATGTACAACACGCGCGCAAAAGGTTTGCAAATAGCGTTCATGATTTCACGAGCCGATTGAAATATTGCAAAAGGATCAACAAAAGTGGAGAGTGAGTATCGACAAACCTTCTGGACGTGAGCATTTTCCATGAAAATCATAGGTTCTTAAAAGCCAACTTAATCTAAGTGGGAACTTACCAGGGAACATTAGGTTAACTTTAATCGGTCTCTCCAGATTCGGTTGCGTGTAACGTAGCACTGGTAGGCAGAGAACAGCTGCGCCAATACTTAACTGAAATTAAAATAAACTTCGCTTTTATATTATAAAACTTTCACAATGACCCTTATAGGTAGAGAATAACAGTTAAATTTAAATATTAAAAATAGTGTTGTGTAGTGGTATAAGATACAAGAAAAAGAATCAGCCATCGCCGAGTATATTTCTCCTGATGATGCCTCATTTGGAGAAGAAATACCTACGTGTCGTATTACTGACGATGGTTTGTCTTTCCTAGTGTGTTGTATTGAGATCAGATTCTTCAAAGTAGGTAAGACGCAACGTTTCTAGTTTTAAGCGGATTTTAGCTAATTAATTTTAATATCTTTAATATTATGAAATGAAACTAATTTTCACGGATTTTATTGCGTTTAATTTAACTTTTTAATTCCCGACGTCCATAAATCCTAATGATTTGTTATATTTACGCAAAGACTACATATCAAATGAAAGTAATTTTTACGGAATTGATCGCGTTTAATTAAATTTTTTAATTTCCGACGTTTTGGATGCTTTACAGCAACCATGGTCACGGGGAAACTGAGGTGTTTGACGTCCCCGATGTCATAGTTAGCCCGGCTACTTTCAGTTTGTGAATATTAATTCCGATCTACGCAGAATGAGTTTACAGTATCTTAGGTTTCTTAGTAACTTTAGATTAAATTATACGCGATAAAATCCGTAAAAATTAGTTTAATTTAATGTGTAGTCTTCGCATCATTATCTTTAATTCCAAACCTCCTGTCTAATGGGTGTAGTAAAAGCTATTTAAGGGAAAATGCCAAAGGATTTTGCGATGTTCGAATGGCACAATAATTAGCATATTTCTAGACCTGCAATACGATTGTGTATTTGTGATGGGCATTGTTTGCTGGCAGGAATCGCTTCACAACCGCGTTATCTTTTTTCATTTAGTTATTTCGTAACTTAAAATAAAATGGATGTTAATGTATAAAAAAAGATATCGGTTGTATGTAATCAGTACTGATACGATAAAATCAAAATACGCACGTCAAAAGGAAATCAAATTATAATTAGTTATACTATCGCACTGCAATCTAGAGTGGTGATTTGAAGTATCGTGAAAAATAGGAGAGGTCTTATACTGTCAATACGTAGTATGTTAAAATTAAGTGCCATTTGGCATGCATTAACTGAAAGATTTGCCCATACTACCCACGCTGGGCAGGCGGATGGTGTGCACAATCGATGCTCTCGCAATGTTAATACCGGCCCTCATTACCGGTTTGATGGATTTCAGCTTGGTATATTAAGAAAAAATACTGCCAGTCAGTCACCACACTCTCGATCGTTAGCTGGCCACGTGTGCAGGTGATGTTTGCCCTTAATGTAAGATTTTTCCATCTTACATCCTACTGTACTAGGTTTTATGGTATAGCTGTTGATGAGAGCGAAGATGTCGGACACGGTGAGGTAGAGCAGCGACAGCAGCGCGACCGCGAGCGAGTAGAGAGAGTACCGTTAGTACTGACCCAGGTGGCGAAGCCCACGTAGTTAATGAGGGCGTAGATGTCGGACACGGTGAGGTAGAGCAGCGACAGCAGCGCGACCGCGAGCGAGTAGAGAGAGTACCGTTAGTACTGACCCAGGTGGCGAAGCCCACGTAGTTAATGAGGGCGTAGATGTCGGACACGGTGAGGTAGAGCAGCGACAGCAGCGCGACCGCGAGCGAGTAGAGAGAGTACCGTTAGTACTGACCCAGGTGGCGAAGCCCACGTAGTTAATGAGGGCGTAGATGTCGGACACGGTGAGGTAGAGCAGCGACAGCAGCGCGACCGCGAGCGAGTAGAGAGAGTACCGTTAGTACTGACCCAGGTGGCGAAGCCCACGTAGTTAATGAGGGCGTAGATGTCGGACACGGTGAGGTAGAGCAGCGACAGCAGCGCGACCGCGAGCGAGTAGAGAGAGTACCGTTAGTACTGACCCAGGTGGCGAAGCCCACGTAGTTAATGAGGGCGTAGATGTCGGACACGGTGAGGTAGAGCAGCGACAGCAGCGCGACCGCGAGCGAGTAGAGAGAGTACCGTTAGTACTGACCCAGGTGGCGAAGCCCACGTAGTTAATGAGGGCGTAGATGTCGGACACGGTGAGGTAGAGCAGCGACAGCAGCGCGACCGCGAGCGAGTAGAGAGAGTACCGTTAGTACTGACCCAGGTGGCGAAGCCCACGTAGTTAATGAGGGCGTAGATGTCGGACACGGTGAGGTAGAGCAGCGACAGCAGCGCGACCGCGAGCGAGTAGAGAGAGTACCGTTAGTACTGACCCAGGTGGCGAAGCCCACGTAGTTAATGAGGGCGTAGATGTCGGACACGGTGAGGTAGAGCAGCGACAGCAGCGCGACCGCGAGCGAGTAGAGAGAGTACCGTTAGTACTGACCCAGGTGGCGAAGCCCACGTAGTTAATGAGGGCGTAGATGTCGGACACGGTGAGGTAGAGCAGCGACAGCAGCGCGACCGCGAGCGAGTAGAGAGAGTACCGTTAGTACTGACCCAGGTGGCGAAGCCCACGTAGTTAATGAGGGCGTAGATGTCGGACACGGTGAGGTAGAGCAGCGACAGCAGCGCGACCGCGAGCGAGTAGAGAGAGTACCGTTAGTACTGACCCAGGTGGCGAAGCCCACGTAGTTAATGAGGGCGTAGATGTCGGACACGGTGAGGTAGAGCAGCGACAGCAGCGCGACCGCGAGCGAGTAGAGAGAGTACCGTTAGTACTGACCCAGGTGGCGAAGCCCACGTAGTTAATGAGGGCGTAGATGTCGGACACGGTGAGGTAGAGCAGCGACAGCAGCGCGACCGCGAGCGAGTAGAGAGAGTACCGTTAGTACTGACCCAGGTGGCGAAGCCCACGTAGTTAATGAGGGCGTAGATGTCGGACACGGTGAGGTAGAGCAGCGACAGCAGCGCGACCGCGAGCGAGTAGAGAGAGTACCGTTAGTACTGACCCAGGTGGCGAAGCCCACGTAGTTAATGAGGGCGTAGATGTCGGACACGGTGAGGTAGAGCAGCGACAGCAGCGCGACCGCGAGCGAGTAGAGAGAGTACCGTTAGTACTGACCCAGGTGGCGAAGCCCACGTAGTTAATGAGGGCGTAGATGTCGGACACGGTGAGGTAGAGCAGCGACAGCAGCGCGACCGCGAGCGAGTAGAGAGAGTACCGTTAGTACTGACCCAGGTGGCGAAGCCCACGTAGTTAATGAGGGCGTAGATGTCGGACACGGTGAGGTAGAGCAGCGACAGCAGCGCGACCGCGAGCGAGTAGAGAGAGTACCGTTAGTACTGACCCAGGTGGCGAAGCCCACGTAGTTAATGAGGGCGTAGATGTCGGACACGGTGAGGTAGAGCAGCGACAGCAGCGCGACCGCGAGCGAGTAGAGAGAGTACCGTTAGTACTGACCCAGGTGGCGAAGCCCACGTAGTTAATGAGGGCGTAGATGTCGGACACGGTGAGGTAGAGCAGCGACAGCAGCGCGACCGCGAGCGAGTAGAGAGAGTACCGTTAGTACTGACCCAGGTGGCGAAGCCCACGTAGTTAATGAGGGCGTAGATGTCGGACACGGTGAGGTAGAGCAGCGACAGCAGCGCGACCGCGAGCGAGTAGAGAGAGTACCGTTAGTACTGACCCAGGTGGCGAAGCCCACGTAGTTAATGAGGGCGTAGATGTCGGACACGGTGAGGTAGAGCAGCGACAGCAGCGCGACCGCGAGTGAGTAGAGAGAGTACCGTTAGTACTGACCCAGGTGGCGAAGCCCACGTAGTTAATGAGGGCGTAGATGTCGGACACGGTGAGGTAGAGCAGCGACAGCAGCGCAACCGCCAGCACGGCGGGCACGGGCGTGGCGCGCACCGACACCATCGTCAGCATGGCCGGCAGCTGCCCGTTCGCCGCGCCAGCGTAGAACAGCCTGCAGACACGCATCCTTCATTAATTCTTAACCCAGAACAGCCTACTGACACGCATTCTTCATTCATTCTTAGCGTAGAACAACCTGCCGATACGCATTCTTCATTTACACTGGCATTTAATATTTCTTTCATTAAGTTCATAACGTTTGCATAATCAGTAAAAATAACTAACTTGAAACTGAATATTGAACTATTACAGTCTAAGATGGATTATAAATTTATAATTTTAAAAAATACATCATTATTTCGTAAAGTTTGGAAAAGGAAAACACTCAATTTAAACATAAAAATAAACATCAATTAAAGAAAAAGCAGTGGACCTGGCACAGTGCCTTAAGCAACACTTTCGGTTTATTTTTTAAATACTGATCTGTTTTATGATATTCCCAGTCACAGATCGAAATAGGTTACTTGAATTAAGTCCAAAGCCTTTGGTGTCACATCATATCTTTATTTTTATTAAAATGTTATAATTTTTACCGACTAAACAATCGAAGGCTTTTGATATGTCAGTTACTTTGTTTAATAGCAAGTTTATTAATATTTTAAGATGTACTTATATGAGTTTATTTTTGTGAATATATCATTGTCCAATCACTATTATCGTCATCAGTCCGTAAGAACTCTGCTACTGAACATCAGTCTATCGAATTGTAAGCTTAGTAATAAGCGGCCCTACGCTTGACAGGTAATCACTGTACTAAACGTTTTACAACTCGGTGCTGTCCTCTTGATCCCGGTTGTAAATATTAATTTTTCCATACATTGTCTATTTATTTGAGGCAACAATGACCCATACATATACGTAAGTGTAAAAAAATTAAATCAATCAATCAATCAAATTGGTATTTACGAATAAAGGTATCAACAAAGGTGTTTTATAATATTATACAATATATATTAAGCTCTTCTGTATTTAGCATTGGCATGCAAAAGAATATACATTGCATAAAAATAAATTCATACTGTTATAACTTATAATGAAACATTTCATTAGTTACAAAACTGACTGATATCATTCAGTTGGTATTGTAAAAGAAGACAGAGGGAAACAGGAGAGGGGAAGAAGCGTCACCTGATAACAGCTCGAAAAATAGTACGAAACTGCGGTTGCCGACCAACCTGCCAAGCGTGGCCACTATGGCAAATATCCCTTCTATGACGCAATCTATGAGGGAGGCCCTATGTTCAGCAGTCGACTATGATGGGCTGTAATAAAACAAGAGTGTAAGTTCACGATGTTCAGAATAGAATCCAATTCTAAGGATACTTTAAAAATTAATTGGGTACATAATTGTATACTAAAAGATATAGTTTAATTATGCAGCACAACATGTAAAAAAGTAATTACATGCAAAAAGATAAATAAAACGAAATATTTACCAACATTATAAATTTAAGAAAAAATACATTAAAAACTGTGCTGCAGCATAAAAATGCGAAAAAGACCAAGACTACAAGAAGATAGTACAGCACTGGTTTTCAGCTCGGCATATAACCCGATATTACTGCTGCCCAATAGCAGCGCTTGAACTGCAGTGTTCCGGTCTGAAGGGAATAGAGAGCCAGTATAATTACAGGCGGTGAGGCTATCCATCTTAGACCCGCTACATACATCAGCAAATCCAAATAAAACTATGACCCGTCACACACGTACGATAGTTATCCGTTCAAAATTTACCGGCCAAAACAGTGTTCCATTTATGTTTAGCTAACCCATTCGGAATTCCGAAACGGATTCCCGAAACGGAATTCCGTAAGTATGCGGCCGGCCTTAGTCCTTAGTGGTGACAAAGCATATGTAATCATCTTTATCTGAAGTTTGTTTCAGGTGCCAGTGGGCTCCAGTAGCCACTAATCATCAGGCGGACTGTATGTCCTTTTGTCACCACAATTTTATAAAATACTGACTCCATGGTGATGGTAATAAATCTTTATATATAAAATATGTTACAGCGTGGCTTTATCACGATAAAATAGATAACATCTTTCTCTAAACTAAATATTGATATACTCGTATACACACAAAAAAAAGCAGTCTTAATAGAAAAGATAGTTTATAATATTGGTCTCAGTCTCAGGTTTAAACTAGTCTGTTTGAATAAAGAAGTCCCGTGGAAGTGGAAGAAAAATTATATGCTACCTAAAATGTAAATAATATCCATGAAAATTGTTATATTATATATTTGTTCCTATTATATACATTATGTAAATACTAGGGTTAAGTTACAACTTAGTAGTATTGTTATTTTATTAATTACTAGCTGACCAGGCAGACGTTGTTCTGCCCTTTCCGACGACCATTTGCTTTCCTTAAAAAACTCCTGAGATTAGCAATAAAAAAATTGAGGGTCACTTATCGGGATAAAAATTATCCTATCTCTCAAGTTGGACCAAACTGCACACAGTATGCAAAATTTCATTGAAATCAGTTCTGTAGTTTAGGAGTTCATCGCGGACAATGTGACACGTAATCTATAATATAAAAATGAATCGCTGAATGTGTTGCTAAGCGCAAATCTCGAGAGCAGCTGAACCGATTTCGATATTTCTTTTTTTATAATATTCCTTGAAGTACGAAGATGGTTCTTACGGAGAGAAAAATTTAAAAAATTGCCTGAAAAAGTCTAAAAACAACACTTTTCTATATTCCCATACAAAATATTTGTAATAATACTTAAAAGTCAATTTGAACTTTCGTACCATACCATAAAGTTTAAGTGTTAGTGGAGGAGTAAGTATAAATATTAATGTCAATATTTGTCGATATGTATACGATGGTAACATTACTCAAAAACAAAATTAGGGTTCCGCGAAAAAAAATTGATATCCATGAAATCGTAGTAAATTCAACGCGGGCGAAGTCGCGGGGCACAGCTAGTGTTGTATAAAGAAGGATAGGATGTGAGTATTCCTGCGAAGGCAAATCGGCAGCCACTTGAGACGTTTACGAAATTTTGAAATGTGATCATATTTACGGAGTCCAAATATGAATCGTAAGCATACATTTTGAATACGCTCAGGTTTATTTAACTGCGCTTCGGTAACGTCCAGATCGCAAACATCAACATACTCAAGAATAGGCAGGGATAGAGCAAGCGCAACTTTAGTGGCATTAGGGAGAAAATTTCTAAGTTTCCGCAGAGAGCTTAGCGCTGCAAACATTTTCCTACTGACTTCATTAATTTGACTCGACATTTTTCAATAATATTTGGACGTAGTTATATAAAAACGTTCCAACTCACAAGTGATTCAAAAATGAGTTCTTCTTCTTCTTTACTTTTTGGCTTCCGATAAAAGAATTCTGCCAATGTCAAGTCAAAAATGAGTTAAATATACAGATCGCGAAGATGTAAAAATAAGTAGATCTGTATATTTAACTCCTTTTTGAATGACCTGTGGGTTGGAACGTTTTTGTATAACTACGTCCATTTTATAACCTTAAAAAATATTGGTTACTAAACATAATTTTGTTGAATGAGGCCGTTTATGATGGAAACACATTTATTAACTACACTTACACAATATTGCATTATGATATGTCAGTATATAAAAAAATTAACCTTACATAATAACAATACAATATGAGGCAACACAAGTTAAAGATAGAAAGAAAAGATGTTAAGAGTTTGTACATAACATGTATATGAGAATAGTGGTAGAGGCATGCTGCAGCTATATTATGGTTGTAACACGAATGGGTCGGCTAGACTGGGGAAAGACCACGCTCTCACAGATTAGTGTTTCGTATGGTGAGGGTAGAGAACCGGAGACCCTTTTTACTGGATACAAGGCGTTCCATCTTAGTCCTCACGGGTGACAACGCATCTGCATTTTGATTGCTAATCGAGGATAGATGTAGATGTCTATGGGCCACAGCATTCACTTACCATCAGGTGGGCTGTGTGCTCACTTGTCACCCTTATTATATAAAAGAAAATACTACACTCATTCTTCTTTTGCCATACGCAACATTTACTTTTATAAATCAATGTGAAAGAATTTAAAATGAAACAATACTGTTACAATACGCGGGCCACTCAAAAAGTTTTGCGATACTTAAAAGTAAGTTCTATGGTTAAAGTTTTTATTACCTATTCAATATTTTCAAAGAAACCCACCATAATTTACACAAAATTTCTCCCGTGTCGACCAGACGAATTTTCTAAACACTTTTTCATTCCGCCTCAGGCGCCTCTTCTGCGGCGTACGGAGATACGGAGTGTACGTGCACATTGCCATGGTGAAGCAGTTTTTAGTCGCTAGTTGCCTAGAGCAGTGAATACTTCTGGCAAGCATTTGGTTATATACGTAAGACGTAAGATATACCATTAAAATGAAAAACTAGATCATACTGGACCGATTTTAATGAAATTTTGTGTATGTGATTAAGTTGATTTGAGAATGGTTTAGATTCACAATACCTCTGTGTATTGTGAATATTATTGTAAATCTAACCAGTGGCACTGTTGTTGAGAACCCATGGGAAGCCGGTGTGGATCACTAGTCAATTCGTAAAATAAATTTAAATTTCAATGTCAATACTTAAATACTAAAAGAACCACGTATGAAAAATAACGTGAACGTTTTTCATTTCACAATAACCAATATTAAAATATTGCATAATTCCTAGACGAAATATATTAATCATACCACGGTATCAATCCACGCGGGCCTGATTCTGAGCATTAGGGAGGTTGTGTGGCCTGGCAACCAATGCGAAGCTTCCTCTACCCCCTCCCCCCCCTTTCCTTTCAACATGAAGTTAAATCTTATGAACGCTTAATCTGGTGTCTACTTGTTTGTTGCGAAATTTGTTATACCAGGTTACGTCCCACTGCTGGTATAACTTTCAGTTACCCCTGTAACTTTATTTTACTTTACTGGTTAATAAAAAAACATGCTTCTGACCTGGAAGAAGTGAGCAGCACGCCATTAACAGCTCCAAAGGTGGATGCGGCCACGAAGAGTGGGATGCTGAGCGCGAACCAACCGAACAGACGCTCTGCGAACGTCACCGCCACCGCCGCGGATCCCAGCACCTGCACCAAGTTACCATCACCATCAGCATCAGCATGCAACAGTACGCGTACGTGGTAGAGACACGTTGCAGCTATATCATCATCATCGTCATCATTACAGCCTTCACAAGTGAACACAGGCCTCCCCCAAGGAATGCCACTACGCACGGTCCCGAGGCACCTGCATCCATTGACTTCCTGCATGTCTTACCAGGTCGTCACTATCGTGCATAAATTAATATAATATTATATACATTTATTTTTAAAATATTGTCTCGTTTTATGCCTAGCCAATGAAGGCTGATTATCTTCCGTTCACAAGATGTCGCTAGTAGGGACTAATGTAAAGTTTTTATCACATCATGCCAAATAATTGAGAAATTAGTTTTAAATAAAATTAATTATATTAACATTTAATGTTTATCTCTTTAACTTTTTCCACATTTTTAACACTTTTTAAAATGTTTCTATTTTACAAATGTCCGTAAATTGGTTTAATCGTTTCTAATCTACATATACGAATAAATAAAATTGAAGCGCCTGTTTGTTAAGTCAAACTAACAGCTAATAAATATATATAAAAGTTCTTATTTTTTACCGAAAAAACATCTTTCTAATTTTTGTCTGTTTGTTTGGGCTAATCTCCAAAATGACTGAATCGGTTTTGAAGGGATTTTTACTGACAGATAGCTGATGTTATAAGTCGCGGCACGTAAGTCTAGCGCTGAACGAAATGTGGAGGGTATAGCTGCGCATGGGTACTGTCGCGCACGCAATATTATCATTACTTTAATTAATTGATAGTATTTAGCTGAATGCGTGTATGAGTGTAAGTGTATGTGCTTGTAATTATTATAGTTTATAGTTCCAAATTCCAAAGATGTTATGTTCTGTACGTGTATATGTTTAAGTTACCTAGGATATAATTTTTAACAAGCTTATGGGGAGTAGAAAAATAAAAAGACTCACGAATTTTCAATATTTATTTTAGATATAAAAACTAGATTCTGAATTAAAGATGGGCAAAATGGAAATCACACACATTTACACAACCTATGCTGCCCTTTTCATCGTCTGAATCAGACAATGGTATCACGCCTTTATACGTGGTGGGGCTATGCTGCAGCTATATTAGTAGTATAGTTGTAGCACGATTGGGTCGACTCGACCGGGAAAGGACCATGCTCTCACAGAATACCAGCGTAAAATAGCAGCTTAACACTGCTGTGTTTCGTATGGTGAGTGTAGAGAACCGGAGACCCTTTTTACGGGAAAGGAGGCATTCCATCTTAGTCCTCATGGGTGACAACTCATTTGCACTTTGATTCGTAATCGAGGGTAAATGTAGATGTCTATGGGCCACAGCAATCACTTACCATCAGGTAGATTGTGTGCTCGTTTGTCACCCTTATCCTAAAAAAAATGGTTTCTCGACAGGGCCTTTTGCTCTTTGACGCCCCGGGCTCAGGGCTGCTTCGGTAGTCGGCACTAGAAGCGTCATTGTCTTCAGACTCACCTCTGAACTATATTCATCAACGCGACTAGTGAATTTTTCTGATACCAAATCCATGACGTGGTCACTCTTTGCATATTGCTCTTCTAAATCCTTCATCTTTTTGCATAACTTTTGCCAATCTCATGCACCTATCAGTAAAACTTTTTCATTAATTAGCTCTGTACAATTTAGCAACACTCCATTTCACATTTTTCTGCCTACATATTGTTTTATATCGGATCATGCCATTTCGATAAGATTTAGATCTGGGTGGTATAGTGGTAGTCTCAAGACCTGATGGCCTTTTTCAGCTACAATTCGGTCAATCGAAAATGTTTTGAATCTTTTCTTTTTTGCCTTTACTAAATTGTATAACTGAGGTTTCAGTAGTGGTTCCTCGTACTGTATGCCTTTTTCAGTGAGCTAAGCCTGCATGTCAGCTTTCTTGGAATTCGAGGTTGGTACGAGATCCCACTGTTTATTATGATAGGACGAGTTGTCGACTACCACGATGGTATTGGGTGGTAGATTGAGCATTAACTAAGTTCTGAGACATTTTTCATAATTCTCGAAATTCATATTTTCTTGGTAGTCGCCTGATTTGGTAACAGCTTTAAAAAGATAGCAACGCATTGGGTATAAACCCACTTTCAGACCCTGCGGACACTAGTGGACCGCTATCCATCGTGATGATGAAGATGAAATTTTTAATGCTGTCGCAGAGACCGATGGTGGAATTCAACAGCTGGAATTAATCCGAACAATTCCTCTGATATATGCAGTAGAAGATCCATAACATCTTTATGGATCTTTGCAAAGCCAGTGGATGAAACCGATCGGAAAGAACTTGATCGTCGACGATTCGGGCCGCTCTCCGTTGAATATGGTCAAATGAAAGGAGTTGATACTAGGGTGCCTCGGCCTATAGGCCATATACCTACGGCTAAACTGCCATCAAAAAAGCTTGGTGTGCTTAGTAGATAGAGACGGTAATAGGTGCACTCCTCTTCCTGGACATCCAGAATTCGAGTGGGCCTGACGGAATCCTCCCAATTGTGCTGAGGACGTGTGCTCCGGAGTTGGCACCGGTCCTAACGCGTCTTTTCCGGTACTCCTACTCCCAAGGCCTAGTCCCGAATTCATGGATGACAGCTTTTGTCCACCCGATCCCTAAAAAAGGCGACCGCTCAGACCCGTCCAACTATAGGCCTATCTCGATCACCTCCTTGTTCTCCAAAATAATGGAATTAATTATTAACTGCCAGCTCATGCGGTACCTTGAGGATCACCAGCTGATTAGTGACCGCCAATACGGTTTTCGTCGGGGTCGATCAGCTGGTGATCTTCTGGTCTACCTGACCCATAGATGGGCAGAGGCAGTAGAGTCCAAGGGGGAGGCGTTGGCCGTTAGTTTGGACATTGCGAAGGCCTTCGATCGGGTTTGGCACAAAGTGCTGCTTTCGAAGCTCCCTTCCTATGGGCTTCCCGAGAAATTGTGCGATTGGATCACCAGCTTCCTTGCAGATCGGAGCATCAAGGTTGTTGTAGACGGTGCATGCTCTGACTACAAGCCTATTAACGATGTGTTCCACAAAGCTGTGTGCTATCACCAACGCTGTTTCTTCTGCGTATCAATGATATGTTGCTAAGTGGTAATATTCATTGCTATGCAGATGACAGCACTGGTGATGCTCTATACACCGGCCGTGCCAATATTTCTCGGGAAAACGTCGCCTAGTACCGGAACAAACTTGTGTCTGAAGTCTAGTCTTTGCTGAACAAAGTCTCGGATTGGGGGCGACTAAATCTAGTCCAGTTTAATCCTCAGAAGACACAAATTTGCGCGTTTACCGCTAAAAAGAACCCCTTTGTCGTATCTCCTCAGTATCAAGGCACTCCCTTTCTTGCCTAAGCCAGTATCGGAATCCTCGGAGTCGACATATCGAGTGACGTGCAGTTTCGTGGTCACTTGGAAGAGAAGGCCAAATTGGCCTCTAAAAAGCTTGGCGTGCTCAGCAGAGCGGGACAGTATTTCATGCCGGCACACCGCCTGCAACTTTACAAGGCGCAGGTTCGGCCTCACATGGAATACTGTTCCCATCTCTGGGCAGGGGCCCAGAGATGGGAACATGGGATGGATGGGATGGCTCCCCAGTGCCAGCTCCTTCCACTTGACCGCATCCAGCGCAGAGCGGCTCGAATCGTCGACGACCGAGTCCTTTTCGGTCGGCTCGATTCATTGGCACTGCGAAGAGATGTTGCATCCCTTTGCATTTTCTTTCGCATCTACCACGGGAGTGCTCTGAGGAATTGTTCGGATTAATCCCAGCCGCCAAATTTCACGAACGCACATCGCGGCAGAACTCCCGATACCATCCACACCATCTGGATGATTGGCGGTCCACTACTGTGCGATTTAGAAGATGTTTTTTTCCTCACACGACTTCCTTGTGGAATCGATTACCATCAGCGATTTTTCCGGACCGATACGATTTAGGGACCTTCAAGAAAAGAGCGTACTCCTTTTTAAAAGGCCGGCAACGCATCTGCGATTCCCTCCCCGGTGTTGCAGCTGTTCATGGGCGGCAGTAGTCACTTACCATCAGGTGAGCCGCATGCTCGTTTGCCCACACTCCTATAAAATAAAAAGTTGAGAACAGTATTCCATATATGGCCAAACCTGCGATTTGTAAAGTTGCAAGCGGTGGGCTGGCGTGAAATACCTCTCTCTACTAAGCACACCAAGCTTTTTTGATGGCAGTTTAGCCTTCACTTCTAAGTGACTGCGGAACTGTACGTCTCTCGAAGCTGAGTCAATAAGAGGAGTGCCCTGAAATCGAGGAGATACGACAAAGGGGTTCTTTTATGCGGTAAACGCGCTAACTTGTGCCTTTGGGGGTTAAACTGGACTAGATTTAGTCGCCCACAATCCGAGACTTTGCTTAGCAAAGACTCGACTTCAGACACAAATTTGGTGTCCAGTACTCGACGATGTGTTCCCGAGAAATATTAGCACAACCGGTGTATAAATATCGCCAGTTCTGCTGTCTGCATAACAATGAATGTTACTAGTGTGCAACATATCGATGATACACAGAAGGAACAGGTTAGGCGATAGCACGGAGCCTTGTACACCACCAGCATAAACAGCCTTGGAGTGGGAGCATGCAACGTCGACCACAACCTTAATACTCCGATCTGTAAGAAAACTAGTGATCTAGTTGCATAATTTCTCGGGAAGCCCATAAGAGGGAAGCTTCGAAAAAAGTGCGTTGTACGAAACCCGATCGAAGGCCTTCGCTATGTCCAAACTAACCACCAGGATCTCCCCCTTGGTCTCAACATTATCCCATCGGTGAGTCAGGTACAAGGGTGACACTGAAAGTTCATAGAAAATCATAACTGAACAAAGTAGCAAGTTATTTGTTTTATTATATATTTTCAAAATAGTGTCCATTTACATCAATATATCGCTGCATCCAATGGAACCACTGAGAAAAGCACTTTGCCCACTCGTTCTTAGGGGTCTCTTCGACGGCATTTTGAAACGCGGCCACTGCTTCCTCGGCGTCCATAAAACGTTTTCCTCGAAGTTTTTCTTTTATTTTCGGAAATAAATAAAAATCGCAAGATGCGAGGTCAGGGCTATAGGGCGGGTGACCTAGTAATTCCACGTCTGACGCTGCCAAGTAGTCGATTGTTTGTTTGGCGGTGTGTGACGAGGCGTTGACGTGGTGAAGGAGGATTCTACTCTATTCTTCTGCCGAACTTTTCCAAGATAAATGGCAAACAATTGTTAGTGTACCACTCTGCAGTAACTGTTTTTTGATTTTCTAAAACAATTGTTGCGAAATGATCTGTCCTTTCGAAGAACGAGGCTACCATCTTTTTTCCCACGCTTCGACCTCTCTTCACTTTAATTGGCAATTTCTCGGAAGGAAACACCCAGACAGCAGACTACACTACACTACACTATACTACAGGTAGGGTAGATCACGGTAGGGTTGTACGTGGTAGAGCCATGCTGCAGTTATATTATGGTTGTAGCACGAATGGGTCGGCTCGACCGGGGAAGGACCACGATCTCACAGAATACCAGCGTAAAATAGCAGCTTAACGCTGCTGTGTTTCGTATGGTGAGTGTAGAGAACCGGAGACCCTTTTTACTGGAAACGAGGCATTCCATCTTAGTCCTCACGGGCGACAACGCATCTGCATTTTGATTCTTAATCGAAGATAGATGTAGATGTCTATGGGCTACAGCAATCACTTACCATCAGGTGGACTGTGTGCTCGTTTGTCACCCTTATCCTATAAAAAAAAACACTCCTGCTTTTGCTGAGACGCAAATTTGCAGACACTGCAGATGACGGGATGAAAAGTTCCATCCCCTGAACCAATACATCGGCGACAGACTCAGCAACGATATTGGGATCATCCAGCGAGAAGCAAATCTGCCCCCATAGGTAGGATGCAAAAAAGCCGGCATCTCAACCCAATCTGTTGACCTATAGTGTCACACATGGTGGCTACCTACAGATTGTGCCTGCAATGAGCACGTGATGGGCACCATACTCCGAATAAAGCAGTGATTCAAAAATCCAAGAGGGGCATCGACGGAAACCTGGTAGCCGTCCGGATGAAATGTCAGCAGAAGGTTCAACAGGGAAGGTGTATGATCCTCCACATCTGGAATCCGCGTGGGTGAAGTAACCAACTGTGTCAGACCATATGCCAAGGTAAAATCATAAACAGATTTCCCCGCATGATCAATCCCCGCATGTACAAGAACAAAGCCTTTCGGTGTGGTGGGCGTTGAAATCGCCAAGAAACAGGATCTCAGCGGATGGGATTTGTTGTAGCACGAAATCTGTAGCCGTTTGGACGTTTTCGATGAGTCGGTATGTTTCGGCATTACCGCTGTGGGACCTATAAAGACACCCATAGTAGACACCCATATATACACGGGGTGGTCATCGTCATCTATACCTAGCCACAGGATGGACAGGTCCCAGTTTTCCAGACTACCGAGACGTCGAGAACAGATATCCTCTCTGACATACATACGAACTCGGGCCCGAGGCAGGAAGTAGTGTTCCAGTTTGTAACCTGGGTAAGATAAATGAGATAAGATTTGAATGAAGTCCCCTTATGTTGCAGAAATCCACATTGAGTGTGGGAGAGGGTGCGGGTGTCGTTGTGATTGTGAGTAATTGGTCGTTTGCCTCGTGCATATATGAAGACTTTTTAAACACCGCTTTCATATTGGGAGCGGGGGAAGGGCCATGGATGTAAAACAGAATTAAAAATATATTAAGAATAAGCGCTATCAAATCCACAGGTTTAATTTCTATTTCTATGAGCAATAGCGTAAGTAAGAATGTAAGAATCAGTATTGCCAGGGTTTTTTTTAAAGTAGGTTACCTCAGTTGGCGACAGCGTAGTATAGAAGGCAACATTGGTCAATGTGTACACGATGGTGACCAACGTGCACGAGATTGCGATAGCTCGCGGCAGGTTCCTTACGGGATCCTTTAACTCCTCGATTATGAAGTTCAGGTAGTTCCTGGAAACAAAATTAATAGAATCAGGCGCTACTTTGTAGAATTTTATTACATTCAGTATAACCGTGTGTGGTTTAAGGTACCTTCAAGAAAAGAACCTTCTTCTTTTTAAAAGCGCATCCACGCACCCGTAATGAGGGCTAGATATTACGCTCACCAGATGTCGCTGGTATTATAAAAATAAAATGGTAGCATTACTGCAACCAGTCCACCTGACGGCAAGTGGATGCTGTGGCCCATAGACATTTACATCTATATTCAAATTGCAGATACATTGCCGTTGTCACCCCGGAGTAATAAGATGGAATGCCTCATTTTCACTAAAGGAGTTGTCCGGTTCTCCACACTCACCATATGCAACATAACAACATGAAGCTATTTTACGCTGGTATTCTGTGCCCCGATCGAGACGACCCATTCTTGCTACAACTATAATATAGCTGCAGTATCTACCACATATAAACTTCTATGTCAGGCCACAATAGTCCACTGCTGGATTATAGGCGTTTCCCGTTTGAAGGATTTGCCATTATCGCCACGCCTGGTCTGGGTCTGCCCGGGTACAGAGCTGTTCTATATATAGCGCAGTACTTCGGAACTTCGATAGCGTGATGTAGGCTACGCGATACGTTTCGCTTGTGGCGCGACGACAGCGCCGTCACAAGTCGATAGGTAATCGCAGTACCTGACGTCTCGCACTTTTGACGCTGCAGCCTGTCGCCGGTAAGGGTAACTTTACGCCTGGCGTAAACCACATGGTTATATTAATGTGTATAAAATAACGCATAATGAAGTTTGGCGTCAGATTTCCTGGATACAGGCTTGCCTAGTGAGAAAATCAACGTATATTACCTATTGTATAATTGTTTCTTTTAATAAAACATTTTTCATTTTCATACAGCTACCTATCGGAAGTTATTCCGATAGGTAGATCGTTCTGGATCGTTAGATCTTTCTGGAGTCTCCAAATTTGTCGTATGATGGATGCCATACACGATCCAGTTTACCGTCAAGTTTGCAGCGCGCTTGAAGCGGCGTCAAGTTTGCAGTGCATCTACTGGCTATCAAGCCATACACCGTCAAGTTTAATGGACGCCGCTTCAAGCGTGCTGCAAATTTGACGGTAAACTGGATCGTGTATGGCATTCATGAGCCGTACAAGCTGTCAGAGAGGAAAATTTATTCATATGGTTGTATGCGATAGCAGTAAATGACGAAATAGAGCTGCACCATCACAAATAGCTATAGTTAAATAAATAGTTTATTGTAGTTAGATTAAAATATTTTGTATCATTGTCATCAACAACCCTTACAAGTCCACTATTTCTTTCTCTCATTTTTTAAACGTTACACTAGGATTTACTCCTATCTCATGGAATCAGTTTACACACATAAATTGTACAAAGACAAACATTCTGACTCGGAACCACTATTTGTAGGCCATACAAATATTTGTTCAGTGCGGGATTCGAACCCGCGTCCATAGGCGAAGTGTTCACAGAACCTGTTTGAAGTTTGCTACGAGCCGGGGAGAATAGCTCAGTGTGACGTCAGGAACATCGCGAATTTCATGCTTACCATCCATTGTACGCGAAAAGTCCGGAGTAGAACGAGAGGGCGATAGACGTGACGTCACTCGTTGTTCCATCAAACGTGAAGTGTTCCACTTTACCTGGAAATAAAAAAAAGAATTATAAACATAGACTGTTAACGTAACATAATGTACAAGACACGATATTTAAATAAATTTGGCTTTATACGTCGAAGACATGTCAAAAAAGATTATTATTTAGTCATGAGGTGGTCATGAGTTGTGGCGAAACTACAACGCAGATTTTCCGTAATTTTAAAGAAAGTTTCATCATCATGATCATTATTACAGCCTATTACAAGTCCGTTGAATATAGGCATCCCTTAAGGAACGCCACAAAGCACGGTTAAAGAACTGAAATCTAAGTTTTGAGTGACAATAATGGTGAACCTAAGATTAGCGCGATGGACAAATAAACCCTTTTGGTAAGTTCCTTTTTATCAATAATATTTATTCTGAATTCCCTGTGTAGTGGCGGGTATGAATACCCACCATCCCATATATTCCCGTAGGTGTTGTAATTGGCGACAGAGGGAAACAGGCAGAAGATAGGCAGCAACATCTTTCTGATAACAGCAAAAGGCAATAAAACAACGTTGCCAACCCGCTCGCCAAGCGTCGTGCTATGGCAATATACCCCCTATGAACAAATAAGCGGCCCCCAGTCCCGAGCCATCTGCATCTATTGACTTCCTTCATCATACCAAAGAAAGTTTAAAATAAAATCATTAAATTCTTTAATATAGTTCAATTCTATTCTAATCAATACTCAAACGGCGATTTTTCTGGACCGATACGACTTAGGGACCTTCAAGAAAAGAGCTTACACCTTTCTAAAAGGCCGGCAACGCATCTGATATTCCCCTGGCGTTGCGGTTGTTCATGGACGGCGGTAGTCACTTACCATCAGGTGAGCCGCATGTTCGTTTGCTCCCTCTTCCATAAAAACAAAAAACCTATACCAATAAAATTTCTAATTTAACAGTGTTTTAATTCCTTTTTACTCTTATATAAAAAAAAAGTATTAATTTAATGAGAATCTCGCCGACACTTGATCGCAGATCTGTGAACATACGCAGACGGGAAGCATAATCTTTTGCAGTAGCTAGTCGTGCATCGCATCATCCGCTTACGTTTGTGAAGCATTTCACAAGAAAATTAAATAATGCAACGTAATCAGAGCGCACCGGATTGGGGCAATCATCTAATAAGCAATGCTCTGTCGGCTCGCCCGCCGACGCCTTCCTAGCGCTCCGAGGAAGCTCAAATTGACGCTATTTTGAATGCCGCCATGACAGTAATTTTGTAACAATAATGGCATGTTTTATTGACATTCTGATTATGTCTGATTCGTAAGTACATTCATTAGTACTTGTACTTATTTTAAGGTCTACATGGTGAACTATTTTAGAAGGGTGGCTGAGCGTGATATGAGCACATAGAAACCCTATGGTAAGAGGATACTTACATATATCCTCGCTTAGGACTCAAATTGCAGATGCGGTGTGCCCGTTTAATATCCACTATGCGATTTAGAAGAAGTTTTCTTCCTCGCACAACTTCCGTGTGGAATCGATTACCACCAACGAGCAAAGAGAAAAGAGTCTACTCCTTTTTAAAAGCCCGACCACGCATCTGCGATTTCCCTGGTTTTGCAGTTGTTCATGGGCAACGGTAGTGACTTACCATCAGGTGAGCCGCAAGCGCGTTTGCCCCTCTCCTATAAAAAAAGTTAAAGTAAAAGCATTTCGAAGTTGGCTACAAGTGTTCATGGACTGCAATAGCCACTTATCATCAGGTGGGTTTGTTACTTCAGTTTTATTAAATAAAATAAGGTTTCCATTATTCCCTATGACATCCCAATCACAAAACTGACAGACTAAATACGATATAGGATTTTTAGCTACCGATATAACCACATAATGTCTTTATTAAATGACAATAATATCAATATATGAATAAATTATATATACGTATCGAGACGGTGAAAAAATATCCACTACCCCAAATCATCCCGTGGCTGTTGTAAGAGGCGACAGAAAGAAACAAATTAGGAGATGGGCAGCAGCCCATAAATTAAAAACTACGGTTGCCAACTCTCTTGCCAAGCGTGACAACTATGGTGACTATGGCAAATATCCTCCCTATGAGGCAATCTATGGGGGAGGCCTATGTTCAGCAGTCGACTTCTATAGGCTGTAATGGATGGATGTATAGAAGATAATATACCAGGAGTACATGACCCACTGAGAGGTGAACTATGGCAAATATCCTCCCTATGAGGCAATCTATGGGGGAGGCCTATGTTCAGCAGGAGACTTTATTAAGCGGTAACGGTAATCATAAAACACTAGAAATACTAGAGTCAGTTGATTGTAAAGGCTACAGCGATAAGATACAATGCGAATTATTAATTAATGTTAATAAATGAATGGACTAAATATCGAACTTTCATTCGTTCGTGTCACCTTCACCTCGGCCACGGTCTTGCGAGTGGCACGCGAGGTCACATGCATTACTAACTTTTAATCTCGAGTAATACAGACTACATTCAACATTGTGTTAGTCGATTAGAATGGCATTTCTTTAAGCGACTACAAAAAAGAAGGATGTAGGTACTCAATTTGTCTGTATTCTTTCTATCCTTATTAAATTGTATGTTCGAGTATAACTTTTTTGTTATTTTTTTATAGTATAGGGTGACAAACGAGCATACAGTCCCCCTGATGGTAAGTGGTTGCTGTGGCACATATACATCGACATTTATCCTCCTTTGCGAATCAAAATGCAGATGCGTTGCCACCCGTGAGGACTAAGATGGAATGCCTCGTTTCCAGTAAAAAGGGTCTCCGGTTCTCTACACTCACCATACTAAATACAGCAGCGTTAAGCTGCTATTTGACGCTGGTATTCTGTGAGAGCGTGGTCCTTCCCCGGTCGAGTCGGCCCATTCGTACTACTACAACTATACTACTAATATAGCTGCAGCATGGCTCTACCACGTATAAAAAATGTTAATATAATATACAATATTTTATTATATACAATATTAAAAACTATAATAAAAAAAATAACTAAAACTAGTAACTTAATTATCATACGATCCTACTCCCCGCGGTATCGTGCCAAGAACGCTGGTTGCGTTTCCCCGCTGAATGACTATACTTAGTCTTTGAGCGACAAAATAACCAGCCCTATTATCACTCTTTGTTAATGAACTGATTTTAATGATTCGTCTTTTATTCTTATCTTAATTTATTCCTACGTAAAAAGGCTCTTAGAGCTTCCCTTTGACTTGTAATTTGACTACCTCGTTGGTGTAGTGGCCGTAGAGTGGTCGTGATTGCCGATCCTGGGTTCGAATCTCGAATCGGGCGAAAACCAATTATTAGGTTTTTTTTGTCAAGAATTGCTCAGTAGCAGCCCGGAGTCAGCAACTTTCCGAAAGGCTTTACGTGCTTTCCTTGGAAGCCGTGGGTCCTGCGCTTAATCACTCTCCGAACATATCGGACTACGAGAGGGCACTATAATCCTGTCCTTCGATGAGTCTGGCCGCCGTGACCGAATTTCGGTCTGAAGAACATTATTAGAGCTTCCCTCTCCGCTACACGTATATTTTTCCAGGACGAAGTAACATGCGTCATTTGGCGAACAAAAAGTTACTTTATTTGCAACACATTTTTGCTTATTATCAGTAAATAAAGGATCTAAATAAAAAAAGTAGCTGATGAAAAATCTAATTCATCAACATGCCTTTTCTATTATCGTAAAATATTATAATAAATTAAGCGATAAGCTTAACAAACCGAGAAATCGAACGTCATAGTTTTTCCCCGGCTATTAAATTATAATATTGTCATCTTAATAAATATCAAATACTAGCTGACCCGGCGAACTTCGTACTGCCTATTCTTTAATTTTTTTTAAAACTTATCCTGCTTTTCGAGACACCGGATCAGCTAGGTATTAGGATAAAAAAGTATAAAGAAAGTTGATAAGTCAACAATTACATTATGTCAAAAAAAATTATAAAACACTTAAAATTCTTTTAATAGTCACTAAAAATCACAATGAAACTTACAATCTCTGATTTCTTATTATGATACCTACTTATTATATTTCATTTTATTTTTACTTATCTAATTGACAAATATTGACATTTGTATTACGTATACTAACGTCACTGAATTGTTTTGCCTCCCCGGAACCCCTCCACTAACACTTAAACTTTATGGTATGGTATTAAAGTTCAAATTGACTTTTAAGTATTATTACGAATCTTTGGTATGGGAATATAGAAAAGTGTTGTTTTTAGACTTTTTCAGGCAATTTTTTAAATTTTTCTCTCCATCTTCGTACTTCAAAAATATTATAAAAAAAGAATTACCGAAATCGGTTCAGCTGCTCTCGAGAATTGCGCTTAGCAACACATTCAGCGATTCATTTTTATATTATAGATTTTAATAATCCATTCGATGAAGAATTTTATTGAGTGTTTCATTCACGTATATATGTCTATGTTTTCCGAGCATATTCTCTTTCAATAAGTATAAATTGTCGAGCGTTATGTAACACGATACTTCAGTGGTGGTGGTTAAGTGGTGGTGGCCATATAAACTACCGTGTAGTAGCGATGTATGAATATCCACTACCCCATATCATCCTATGAGAGTCGTAAGAGGCGACAGAGGGAAACATCTGGAGATGGGCAGCAGCGCCTTTCTAATAACGACCAAAAATAAAGAAACAGCGGTTGCCAAGCGTGGCAACTATGGCAAATATGATTATTAATAATTTATGAGGCAATCTATGGGGGAGGCATATCATCACCACTGTGATGGTGGTCCCATATAAGTTTAAAGATTTTTTTTATTCCTAGGAGTGGAAAAATGGGGTAGGTATTATTAATAGAGCTATTTAGACGACATTCTAGGCGTTACCTTGAACTAGTGATATTCTATTTTATAAATCCACTCAAACGAGTAAAACACTTTAATAAAAAGTAAAAACCGGCTGCAAAAACTAAAAAGAATAAAATAATTGAATCATAATCGTTTATAAAGACGGAGCTATAATTCTTA